CGGCGGGGTGGAGAGCTCTCGAGGGCAGCCAGGGAGGGCTGCGCGGGGGGCGCCGGATGACAGGCCAGCGCCATTCCTTGCCTCCAGCAAGCGCGCAGGCCTGGCAGACGGGACCCCACCTTGCCGGCGCCAGGCTGTCCACCTCATCAATGAACAGGATGGCGGGGCTGAGGGCGGCGGCCGCCTGGAACGCCGCCCGCAGCCGCTTCTCGCTCTCCCCCGCCCACTTGGACAGCGTGGCGGCGGGACTCAGGCACAGCAGCGGGGTGCCCGCCTCGGCCGCCAGCTTCTCAACCAGCATCGTCTTGCCTGCAGCCATGCCGCTCAGAAGCGCGCTCGGCAGCGGCACCAGTATTTTTTTGCACGAGCAGCGCTGATTTGGCGAGCATACAACCACACACAGACTCCTCTCCCATGCAGCAATGCAAGCGGCGGCCAGGCGAGCGGGGCGGCACTGGCGCTGGGTGCTGCACAATGGCCCAGCGCTGCCGAGCGCTGGCTGCGTCCTAGTAGTGAGCGGCCGCCCACCTGTGCCGGGTGCGCCGTGGAAAAGCAGGTTGCACTGCGGGCGGCGGATGCCGGTGAAGAGCTGCGGGAAGCGCATCGGCAGCAGCACCGCCTCCCGCAGCTCCTGCGGGCAGGTCAAGGCCAGGGCGCAGCTGAGCGCTGTGGGTGCGGGACAGAAGACCCGGTGCATGGGCAGGGATGAGGGGCCGGTGTAAGGGGCTGGCCAATCCAGCTGGCTGCAGGCAGCCACAGCAGGGCGGCGGCAGGAATGAACTCGCTTGCTTGATGGCCTGAAGGCCCACCACCTCATCCAGGCTGCCAGCCACCTCCTGCACACACTCCTGGGCCACAGCCGACAGCCGGCGCCGCTCCTGCGCCTGCTGCTGGCGGCCGGCGCCTGCCGTGCCGCGCGCCTCCAGCAGCCCCGCGCCGGCGCTGCGGCGCTGCGCGCCAAAGAGCCCGCCTCCTGCCGCTCCCTCCTCCCCCTCCTCCTCCTCCTCCCCTGTGTTCCGCGTGCCCTCTGCATCGTGTGACGAGTCGGCGCTGCACAGGCCGCCGCCCCGGGTCAGCCGCTCGACCGCCTGGCTGTAGGTGTCCTCCAGAAGGGTGCAGGCGGCGGCGGTGAGGGCCAGGCCGCCGTCGCCGGGCTGCTCCTCCAGCAGCGGCCGCAGCAGCGCCTCCGCCACGTAGCGCACGCGCGAGCGGGCCAGGAAGAAGCCCTGCCAGGCAGAGCAGGAGGGAGGGCGGGTAGCTGGTTGCTACTGTCGGGCGGCGCAGGCGGCGGCGGCGGTTCAGCCAGCCCAGGTGCTCCCGGGCACTGGCCTTCCACCCCCCACCTGCACGGCCTCCTGCAAGCGCCCCTCCTCCTGGCAGCCCAGCGCCTCGCAGGCCTGCTCGAGCACGCGCTGCAGCTCGGCCAGCACGGCTGCTGGAGCCTCCGGCTCCATCCTGACTCTCTGGGAAGCCAAGTGGGCCGAACAATGCTGCAAAAAAGGCTACAAAAGCACATGAGCTGTCCACACAGGTGGAAAGCACCGGGCATTCAAGCTTGGCTCTCTTCTCCAGCAGGGTTCCATTCTGAGGCAGCAGCATGGAGGAGAGCCGGTCAGGCAAGCGTTTGTGCAGAGAACCAGCGGCCCAGGAGATGGAGGAGGGCAGCAGCGCGATGGAGGCAGCAGGCAACGACAGCTTCTGGGCCTCCCAGGCGCAGGCAGAGCCTGAGCAGGCGCCAGGCTCAGCCACACGGCCATCAGCGGCAGCGTCAGGCGAAGGCGGCGGGCAGGCGGCTGGCGGGATGGACTCCACGCCGCTGGCAGCAGTGATGCCGGCGCTCTTCGAGGTGCTTACAAGGCTGCTGATTGCAGACCGCAGCATCCGCGCCACGTGGCGCTAAGGCATGTAAACAACAATAACAAACAACAGCAAAGCTAAGCTAGAGAGTAGTGCACAGAGACAGGGAACAGAGTTGTGCGCCGGCGCGCCATGGGGCGGCACTGGCGGGAGGCGGAGCGATGCTTGGAGCAGTCTGTCAATCCCAGCTGGGGGCATCCATCGTGTATACAGGCATGCAATCAACCATTCTAGCAGGAGGAGCAGAAGAGAGCTCTAACTGCAGCGTGCAGGCTCCGTCAGTTGAGACAGCAAAAGCGATCAACTCAATACATTGATGCAGCACACGACAAAAGCGGCGGTCAACTCAGGCGCGGCCAAGGAATTAGATTCACGCTGCTGCCCAATGTGGCAGCAAGGAAAGACGGCAGGTGAAGGTTCGTTGTGGGTGCTGCCAAGACAGCACAGGCAAATGCGATGCAGGCGGGCTGGGACCAGCACCGGGCATGACGCTGCACAGCCCCTAGCGTGCACCGGGGCTCCCACGTGCCTGCACGTGCACACGCATGATCCCCACGTCAGCAGCGTGACCCTTCCGGCACCCTGCCTGCCTGCATCTGAAGCCAATCACACACAAGTCAGCAGCCAGTGCTGTCAGAGGCCCCAAGCAGGGACCACACGCACGTGCAGCCGCTTGAGCTCGTGCTGCACAGCCACCAGCTGCGCCTCGCTGTGGGCGCAGGCGGTGCGCTGCGCCTCCAGCTCCTCCTGAAGCGCAAACAGGGCCTGCAGAGCAGCTCCGGCGGCGGCATGGGGAAGCAGCGCTGAGCAGTGCCGAGGGCCATCAGGCAGCCAGACACACGACACGCATCAGGAGTCGAGGAGGCTCTGCCTGGCGCAAAGATGCACTCTGATTTGATGTGCCGAGCGGGGTGGCCAGCTGCCACCCCTTGCAGCACAGCAGCCCACAGCCTTGGCCGCAGCAGGCCCAGCCCAGCGCCGCCACCCACCCGCCGCATCTCATCCGCCTCCCGCCGCGCAGCCTCCGCCTCGGCCTGCACCCGCTGCACCGCGGCGGCCCCCTGGTGCTGCCGGTGCTGCTTCACCGAGGCCTGCTTGCGCACGGAGAGCAGCTGCGCCTCCACGGCCGAGCGGGCGGCCACCGCCTCCTCCAGCTGCCGCTGCAGCGTGCCCACCTGCTGCTGCAGCACGCGCACCCGGCTGGCTGCAGGCGGCAGGGAGGCAGCAGGCGGCCGTTCTGGTGAGCACAGGAGGAGCAGTGAGCTGCTTGGGCAGGTTTAAACAAGGACAGCTCGCAGCATCAAAAGCAGTGCAAGCGCCTGCCGCTTGCCCACCCGCCCCGCCGCCCACCTGCCGCCGACTGCTCCTTGCCACGTTGGCTCAGCACCTCGCGGCTGGTGCGCTCCGCCGCTTTCTTCTCCTGAGCCAGGGCCTGCAAGGGATGTGGCAGGCGGACCGAGGCAGCCGGGCCATGCACAATGCTTTCATGACAGCATGCACGATGTTGGCAGGGCATGCCATGCACGATGGCACGGCATGGCAGGGCTGGAAGGCAGGGAGGCTGGCCAGGAGGAGGCGGGCTGGTGCTGCGCTTAAGCCTCACCAGCGTGCGCGACTGCAGCATGGCAATCTGCTCCAGCGCCGCCGCCAGGTTGGCCTCGGTGGCGGCCACCGCCTCCCGCACCCTCAGCACCTCTGCATTCACCTTCTTGCGCTCGTGCCGTGTGGCGCTGCAGGAGGAAAGGAGGGGAGGCAGAGGGATGGTGGTGCCCCTGGTGCATGCAGGCGCTAGCCCAGCCAGTTCGGGATGGGAGGCAGGCCACAGCCATGGCCAGGCCACAGCCACAGCCATGGCGCAGCAAGCGAGAGCGGCGTGCCTGATTTTTTGCTCCAAGCTGGTGGCATACTGCTGCGCCGCGCGCAGCTCCTGCCGCAGGTGCTGCGCGTGCTCCTGCCTCCAGCCTTCCGGGGTTGCGGAGGGGGCCGCGGGCTGCTGGGGCGTGGGCGGGTTGCGGGCCGAGGCAATGAGCTGGGCGTCTTCGGGCGTGTCCACAACCGTGACTCGCCGCCCGCCCGCCTTCTTCTGCTGCTGCTGGACGTCGTCCTGGCTGGCGCCCTGCGGTTTGAACGAAGCAGGAGCTAGCTACTTGGAGGCGCCAGATATGTGTATAGGGAATGGGCCCGCCGCACAGGTGCCACCATCACTACCGCCCGAGCGGCTAACAACATGCGGCGGGGCGGCGGCCCTGGTCACCTTGCGGCCCCCAAACGCCCTGGAAGCGAGCGAAGACAGGATCTGGAAGCCCAGGGCGCCTGCAACGACAAGCAGGGCGCGGCTGGCGGCCTGGTCCGCTCCCGGTTGGTTGAGGGGGTTCAGCATGGCTTTAAAGGCCGGCAGTGGCGGCCTGCTGGCGGTCCGGCTCATGACTGTACACGTGATAAAGGCAAAGGGCTTTGAAGCGTCATGAGCTGAACTGCAGGAATGCTGAGGTGGCGGAGCCCACATGCACCATGTGGGCTGCACATGGCCTCCCTCTCAAGCGTATCCTTTGGCCCCAGAGTCGTGCAGGCAATCATGACAGGCTTGTGACATTTCGGTGGCACGCCCCAACGCTGCCCCAAGGCGTTCTCTGGAGTGTCGCCTCTTGAGGGTTTTTGGGTGTCCGCTGACTTGCTTCTCATCATCAAGCAGCGGCTGTGCAGGTGCTGTGCTGGTCGTGCTCTAGCTCCACAGCCCGTCGCGGAACCCCGACACTTGCGACGAGGGTGAGTGCCTGCTGTTCCCGGCTCTGGAGAGCAGGAGGGGCCAGAGGAGCTCAATGCACGCACACACACGTTCTCCCGCTTGGCCGCAGGTGCACTAGCAGCGGTGGCACTAGCGGCGGCGGCGCCTTCGGCGGCGGCTCGGCCGCCTGCTCCTGGCTGCAATGGCGGACGTCGTGGGCGGGCTGGCGGTGGCTGTGCTGCAGGGCCTCAAGGCCGCGGCGCTGGAGCCCCGCCTGCTGAGGACGCTGCTGATTGCGGGGGCGCCGCTGCGCCTGGCGGTGGCCGCCAACGTGTGGGCTGGGCGCTCCATCAGGTGTGCTGCAGGTGCCCGGCACAGCGGCGTGGCAGGCACCGAGCAGCGCGCAAGGCTCCCTGCCAGCTGCTGCCGGGACCGCCTGACAACTCCGCCGCCGATGCTTTCCTGTGGCCGGCGCAGGAGCCTGGCCGCCGAGATTGTGCGGCGCCTGCTGGAGCTGTCGGGGTGGCTGTTTGGGCGGGTGGACGCGCGCCGCCTGCGCGCCTTTGAGCGCGCCTACTTCCGTGTGCGGCGCTGGCATGTGGCGCTGGGTGAGACGGCCAGTCAGCCAGCAGCGCGGGCGCCCGCGCTGCCTGCCGTCGCTGTCACACCTCGCTCCTTGCGCCGCAGCGGGCTTACGGTTGGCTGGTGGTGGCCGATCGTGTGCCGCTCCCCGCCCAACCCTGGCATGGTGCTGGTGCCCGCTGCCCCATGCCCCTCACTCTGCAGCCACCGCCGTGGCGGCCAAGGCGGTGCAATGGGCGGTGCGGCAGTGGGTGGAGGCGGCCAGCGGGGCCCGCGCGCGGCGCAAGGCCTTGCAGCGGCGCATGCAGGAGGCCGAGGGGTACGAGGAGTGGGCGGTGGCGGCACAGGAGGTGCGCCGCCCCTCGCTGCCGCACATCCCAGAGGGCCCCCGCGGGGCTGGCACGCCTGCGGCCAGCCGGCCGTCTGGCTCCCGCTCGCTGCACCCAATATCCCATCCGTGCCTGCCCCCCGCCATGCCTGCCGCCTGCGTGCTTCATGCTCGCCTCGCCGCCGCCGCGCTGCGCAGCTGGAGGCGCTGCGCGGCATGGGCGCCAAGTCGAGGCGGCTGCTGGAGGAGAGGCTCTACGACCGCCGCCTGCTGCAGGTGGGCCCGCCTTGAGCGCCGCCCCTGCCGGGTGTTGCCCACCCGCCGCACAGCCGCCGCCGTCGCTTTACCTCGGGCACCTGCCGCCCTGGCGCTCGCATGGCGCCAGCGCGGCCTTTGCCTGCCTGCCTGCCCGCCCGCCTGCCTGCCTGCCTGGGCGCAGGAGCGGCTGGCCTACCTGCGGCGCGTGCGACAGGCGGGTGATGTGCAGGAGGTTATGTTTGCGGTGCGGGCTGACCTCATACGCAACCTGGGCAACATGACCAACAGGTGGGGGGTGAGGGCTGGGGTGAGGGTGCTCACGAGCGTGTGCGGGCGGGGTGGTGGTGGGGTTGGGGTGTGTGGGAAGGGTTCACCCTCTGTGTGTGTGTGTGTGTGTGTCTTGTGGCAATGGTGGTGTGCGAGAAGGGTTCACCGCCACCGGCACACGACAAAGTACAAGCCAGGGAGCGGGAAGCGACGCGGGCGGGTGGGGAGGGAGGGCTGCCTGCCGTTCCGCGTCACGCTGTGCTGCTGTGCCATGCTGTGGTTGTGGCTGCCGTGCTGTGCAGCGAGCTGCACCGGCACTTCCCGGCGGTGCCCGACCTCATCCGGCAGTACATCCAGCAGGTGCAGGCAGACCTGCAGTACATCACCGCCTCGGCAGGTGGGCTCACGCATGTGGTGGCCGCACGCGCGCGTGTGTGTGTGTGTGTGTGTGTGTGTGTGTGCTTATGGTTGTTTGGTGGCGTGGTGGCACGCGTGTGCGTGGTGACCAGCCGGTGGCAAGCCCCTGCCCCCCGCGCTCCCCTGCCCTGCCTTTCTTCCCCCGCCCTGCAGACATGCCGGTGGAGGAAAAGATGGC